GATGGAAAACGTAAGGCTTTGGAATAGGTTTATGCGTCAATCTTCAACAAATAAGGTTTACATGAATAGGGCTAAACACCAACGGTACACCCTGCAGGCACCCGTAGCATTACTATTCCTGAACATTTCTCGTTTCGAAGTATTTGGGAATAGGGTCTGTGTCTAAACTTTAAACGAATAAACATAGGGAAGCTCGTTAGTATGCAGTGGAATTCTTGAAGGTTTCTGCCACGGGCCTGTTACTGGGACAAGTTTGCGTACATACGGCTTAACTAGGTTTCCAGATTATTTAGGATGCAAGCTTGGTGGGAAACACCCCGCCCCCTTACACTGGGGGGGGGGGGGGGGGGGCGGGGGTTAATTTGCATACATACTATATTCTAACTGAGCTATTTGCCTCCCCCCCCCCTTATTCTTTGTGATGTTTTTTGCTGAAAACCTGGGTTCCTGGGGGGGGGGGGGTAGCATATATATATATATATGCACACATGTGCAGCAAAAAACGAGGAATATATAAACAGCACGCCGAAAAACAACAAACAAACGCAGGCCCCACAGCGCACCACACTCTAAGCAAAGCAGCAACAAGCCATCACTAGTCACTAGACCAGCGTCTGCAACTGCCATAGACCAGACATTGTGCAAGAACTCCGCGGTAGAACCCTAACTCCTAAGGTCCTAAAGCTCTCTTTGTTTGGGTCCGCGTATTGCCTCGGTAGCTGCTACAATCCTGCAAGGCGAATACGGGAACATGGCAGTCTTCTTCGGAACCTGCGGGAAGCTCCAAGAAATAGGCAGGTGGGTGCTTCGTGCTTGCAGTGATTACTTGTCAATGGCCACTGCTCGCTTGTTGGCACCTTGGCCCTGAGCAGCTGCTGGCTCGAATCTGAACAGCATGGCAACACTTGACACGGGCAGGCAGGTGTGAAAAAGGGGGCATTGGTGGCTCATTGGCCAAAATAAGCTGAAGCAGAAGTAGCGATCGTGGTCTGCATGGACGTTCTGGCGCGTGCGTGCGCCTGGCTTTGCCAGCCCCATACAGCCCAGGCCGCGCTGCTTCTCGTTTCGAACCAATCGAAGTTGCTCATGTTGTCAAAGGAGGATGCTGGCGACGTGGCCGACGAACTGGTCACACCAGCGAACAAAACCGCACCGAGGAGCCCATGACCGTGCGCTTAGTTACAGATTGATAATGCGGCCAGACTACCTACTTACAGAGACTGTCGTTTGTAGTGCGCATGCACTTATACACTAGAATACACTTCTATGCTGGTGGCTTGGGCTTTACAGTGGCCTGCCATGGTGTTTTTCGCCAGGGGGCAGCTGGAGTGGACTCCGTCAACAACATGCCCAGAGGAGGACTGGGACTCATGGCTCCTGGGGTTGAGAGGCTTCCTGCATTCGATGGCCATCGTTTCGAACAGCGCCTACATCAGAAAATCTAGCCTGGCTCGTAAGCATAGGAAGTCAAGGCTCTGTAGAGAACGTGAACATGCAGCGTTTATCTTGGTGAATGGCTGCTCTGGTCTCAGAAAGAAGTTTTGAACTGAAACGGTCCTAAAGTTACGAAGGCTCCCCCCTCAAACTTGAGGGGAGCCTTTCGTTTCATACCCAGCGTAAGCTGATCTGTTTTAGGGTTTTTTTTGGGGGTGGGGGGGGGGGGGGGAACCCCAGTCTGGTGTGTGGTTCTGGAAGGGGGTTCCAGGCTTCGGGCCCATGTCGGGGAGCGGGGAGGGGGCCCCAGGAGCCTTTGAGCCCCATGCTCGGTGGCGGCTAGGCAAGTGTGAAGACACCCAAAGTCTGAAATGCAGAAGACACCCAAGCCCTTAAATCCAGTCTTGCAAAACCTCACATCCAGACTTGCTTCGTTGTATGTTCCTCTGATGACCTGTTCAGTGATCTCTCTCACATAGTTCGATGTACTTGCGTCCAAGGCCTTCAATCCAGACTACTTGCTTCGTTGTGTTTTTCGATCGCTGCTGTTGTCAAACAGTTCACTGCCATTCCAACTCGTTACGTCGCTGTGTGCTCAGTCCCATTGGGTGGTTATGCAACATGTCTGGCCGGATTCCTCGCTCAGACTCTGTCCCTCAGCCCGAGGCCTTCAGCACGCACGCAACCCTCGAATCTGGACCCTCAGCCCTCAACCCTCCAGCGCATGCCCTCCCCTGCTGCGCCTTCTGCACCTTGAGCTTTCGTCCCCTGGTGGGCGCAAGCCTGTGCGTGGTCCTCTCAACCTTCACGTTGGAGACGATCAGAGCATCCAAAGGCAAAATTGGCGCATTTGAAAATCACGTAGTTCTCGTGTAGGACGCCCAGACTGACGTGTGATGGTTGTTTGGGGTGGCTCCTAACCCCTATATTTGAGCCCCGGGTTCGGCATCGTGTGCTGACTACCGTCCGCATGCCTCCTTTTGCAAAAGTAGTCTTGGATTGGATGCCTCAACCTAGAAAGATTCGGAACCATCATCTTTCAGCGAATCTTTTTTGCCCGTGCGAAAGCGAATCGGAAGGCAACCTGCTCTTGCCTTCACGCTGGTTATAAGGCTCTGGGCTTGCGAAGAAACACGATTCAGATGCAGCCGTATTACAACCATGTGTCTTGAAATGCGTTGCGTGCCATGGATAGAGGGACAAGCCTAGGCATATAGCGTGGTGGTCGGCGTGTTGATCATGACTGACATCGTTACGGCCCATTGGCAAGCGTGGTGCTTGAGATCTCGCGGGACGCCGGAGACTCACGCAGGTGTCGGGGGCCTCGCCCTACGGCCGTCCATGCTCTCTGCCGTGTTGTCGGGATGGACGCATCCTGCATCACCGGGTGTCGGACGCAGCTGGGCCTGTAGCTCTAGCGCTGCCGGGGCTTAGGCTTTAGCAGTGCCAGGAATAGAAGGATTATAGTTTTCTCCGTGGTGCCCGTATGCATGCCATACATGGGCTGAGCCCTGTATGAAGCCTCTGCAAGGGTGCAGGTCTTGGGCTGCAGGCAACCCCTCGGACTGATGTCATACGCTGAGGGGAGGGGGTAGGGGCGGGTAGGGGGGAAGGGGAGGGCTAGCCAAAGGGGGGGGCAACATCATCCATCATCATGACGTGCCGTGTGTCGCCATGGGTCAACGAGTGGTGTTGATAGAGCTTTGTTGCGCCCAGCTGACCAGGTCTCTTGAAATCATGCTTTGTGGCTGTTCTTCGTCTCCAGGAGAGCGAAGAGCATGAGATACGCCAGCTGGGCTTGGCCGACGCTGTGGCCGTGACAGAAGTTCCATGCCTGTTCGCTTCGTTCTGTGAAAGAAGGCCTCTGCCAAGCACTCAGCTTATACCGTTCCGAGTGCTCCAAAACGTGTGTGGGTCCACAACAATCGATCCAGTTGGCATTGGGCGAGGCTGTCTGACATGCTAGGGCTCCTGGACGCGCGATTCTTAGAGTCTCGGTCAACCGACGGGGAATGCATAGACTCAGACATGTGTATGTGTGTTTAGCTGATTGAGCTGTCGCAATGTAGTGTGACACACCATGTCATATTGGTTTCGTAGATCTTCAGACAGGTGGATGATGCCCTACACTTTCGCATTTCGTGCCGCGCCACCTGCGAGAGGCCGCGTGCGAGGCCACATGCCATGGTTATATTATGTTGTCATATGTGCTGCCGTTAGCAATGTAGAGCATTTATGTGCATGTGAACAGAAGTCCTACGCGTATTTGTGAGCCTTGCAAAGACACAGGTCTGAGACCTTCCAGGCCGCGTGGTCAACTGAGGTCGAGCTGCAGGGTTTACGGTTAAGGGTTTGTGCTGATCTGTGTAGGGCCGCATACTGTGGCGTGTTTTTGTACTGGTATGTTGTGCCCATCCAGGGCGTGCAAGACGAGGAGGTAGCTCGCGAGCGCAGCGTGCAGCCTTGGCTCGCTTTGTGATGCACGAGTCCATGTGCTCTGTCTGAACAAGTCCCAAAGTCAAAAATGTCAGGCCCTCCTGGTTCCATGCAGCATCAGAGCTCCTGGAGAGTTTGATGCGCAAAGCCGATGGCCTGAACTGCAGCTGCCAGGCATGCGCCCTTGTTAATAGGATACATATGCCTTTAACCATCAATGTGCACAGCATCTTATGGTGAAACAGTGTGCATACATCTATCATACGTGTAGAAGCCTTTGCGCCTCCAGGCTTGGGTCTGCTGTGAGGCCGGGCAGCTACAGCCAACGAGTCGTGTTGATAGAGTTGCACCCAGCTGACCAGGTCTCTTGAAATCATGCTTTGTGGCTGTTCTTCGTCTCCAGGAGAGCGAAGAGCATGAGATACGCCAGCTGGGCTTGGCCGATGCTGTGGCCGTGACAGAAGTTCCATGCCTGTTCGCTTCGTTCTGTGAAAGAAGGCCTCTGCCAAGCACTCAGCTTATACCGTTCCGACTGCTCCAAAACGTGTGTGGGTCCACAACACTCGATCCAGATGGCATTGGGCGAGGCTGTCTGACATGCTAGGGCTCCTGGACGCGCGATTCTTAGAGTCTCGGTCAACCGACGGGGAATGCATAGACTCAGACATGTGTATGTGTGTTTAGCTGATTGAGCTGTCGCAATGTAGTGTGACACACCATGTCATATTGGTTTTGTAGATCTTCAGACAGGTGGATGATGCCCTACACTTTCGCATTTCGTGCCGTGCCACCTCTTCGCCCGAGGCCATGCTTTGCTGAAGACTCATCTCAATACATGTTGCGTTGCACCATGAGGCTAGGAACAACTTAGAACCCATGAGCGTACGAGGATGACGGCTGACACATTTCAAGGTCCTATGATTCCTGCGTGATCATTACTGGCAGAACCCTCGTGTAGTAGTACTGGCAAATTGTCCAGTAGTGCCTGTAGAACACTTGTCGGCAACATTGAAGTACCAATAGAAGCAATACCCGCAGCAGTTTGCGTTCCATGGAATTGAAACATCGAAAGCAAGGACACATCACGTATGTAAGCTTTTTTGAGAGTCGCGCTATGCAAACATCGATGCATGATGCAGGTTCTCCTGCGCTACTTCGATGCTCTCATGCACTTCGAGAGGCATGCGGGGCAACATGCCGTGGTTACATTACACACGAGTATTCGTGAGCTTTGCAAAGACGCAGGCCTGAGATCTTCCAGGCCGCGTGGTCAAAATCGATCGCGCTGCAAGCGCAAAAGAAGCACAAGGAGCTGGTCAGCATTTACGGCTTAAGGGTTTGTGATGTTTCTTTGGCAACATACTGGCAGTTGGCAACGCTTGGCCACGGCTTGCAGGCTCTCTCTTTCTTAGTTCCCTGGTGTTTTGTTAGCTTCCTTAAAACTTTGTAGTTCGAGGATTATTGGGTTTGGAGCAACCAGCCTGGCCGGCCCTCGGAGATACATCGTCGCTGCCGCTTGGCGGGAAAACCGCCGTAATATTTGAGCTTCGTTGTCGCCATTGTCCTCAACAGTGGCCATAGTTACATATGCTGATTTTATCGGTCATCCTTATTATCATTATTTGTGTGATTGGGGCCTGCTCCAGGCTGTCGCTTCGCAATCAAGTGCTGTCGAGCTTGGTTCCGGCAGAGTCCCTTTGCTGTGTCTCAGCTCGTCCGGAATTTGGCAGCCTTCTGCGTGGACTCATCGAGCAGCATCCACAGGCCATGTCAGCACTTCTTTCTCATCTTGATGAATGAAGCCCTGAACATGGAACGCGGGAACAGCTTCAAGGACACTGTTCTGCAAGAGACCCTGAAAATTATGCTCAAGCGCCCTGACTCAGCAGTGGCAATCAACTTCTCGCGCCGACTGGCGTGCGACGACTCGATCGATTTGGATGGCTTGGCGATTCCCGCCATGGAGCAGCTGGCAGCGCTCGAATCGAAGGCCCGCGTCCCTGGCTGCAGAAAGGATGCGGCCGACGTGCTTTATCGCTGGCGGAGTGGCGTTTCCAGCCTCCCGGTCTTTCTGAGGGGTGCTGCTGTTTTGTTTCTTAAGAGTGTTGCTATGCAACAAGTGCAGCTACTCTAATAGACGCTGGCTTTACATGGGCGGGCGCTGTTGTGTAATGCAGCGCAGAGATTCCCTGAACAGGCTACGATGGAAGCCGGTCGTTCCAAGGCTGGTGCTTGAGCTGGGCATCGTTTCTGGGTTGACGTGAGACGGAGCCATGGTGTGCAAAGCGTGCGCAAGAAGGAGGCGGACAGCGTGGACCAATGCAGTTTCGAGTTCTGGCGCGGCCGATGGCGAGGGCGGCTGCTGACAAAGCAGCCAGAGAGTGACGCGAGTGCCCCCCCACTTGCCGAAAAATGTCAGTGAGCAAGCTTCGCCTTGTTGCGCCGCGTTGGTGCTTGCCCGTAGTTGTCATGACAGTGCTAAAGCTTCTGTTGCAGTGCGGAATGGAGGTAGGCCTTCGCAGCATCTCAAGTTGCAAAGTCGACCTTGTTACTTGTTTGGCGATTGGCGCCGCAAGCCGTGTTGCCATGCCTGGCGACACTCGGTGCATCTTACTTACATCTCCTGAGTCCATCAGACCCGAGGATTGTTCAGCTCTAGGCATCCAAATGAAGGCCCGAAACACCCAAAACAGCCAAATTCGTGAAAGTTTGCAGCTCCTCCAAGCGATGGGGGGGGATCCCACAGGCAGGGGGGTGGGGGCGTCGCAAAATTTGGCCTGGAAGGAAGGGGTTAGGGTGAAGGAGACCGGATCCGTGTCTGCTTGTTCCAAACGCTTCTCGGCAAGAGGCCGAGACGAATTATGCACAAGTGCTCTGAAAGTTGTCATGGAAGATTTGGGCCAAGCGCCAAGCGATGTTTGTTGGCGAGATTTGACGTGAAGGTTTTGACTAAGTTTTGGGCTCAAAATTGCTTTTGGCGAGGCTTCTGGCGAAGTTTCTGGCGAAGTTGTCCGTGAAGTTTTAGTGGGATTCTGTATGGTTGTATCCACCGCAACAATTCCACGCCATTCTCCACTCCATACTCCATCCCATAACCTGTGCAATCCTCCAGCCCCTACTAAAGACCACATTTCAGATGGGCCTCCAGCCACTTCCCCAAACAGTCCTCACAGTGGCACGGCAATCCCGTCATTGAAGGGTTCATCGGTCTGCGGTTAGGAGTGACCTTGGCCACTTCTCAGCAATAAGCAGAAGGTACAGGAGATGTTTCTGAGTTCAAGTCTCCTCTCGCTCGGGTGGTTGGGAGTTTCCATGCAGCTGTGGAATTTTTCGGTTGTGGCTTGTACCTCGCAGTGCCCCACTTTTGTATTGGTGGACAGGCGTTGTTTGTCAGTCAGGAATGATGAGCTGTGGACAAGGTGCGCAAACCTGCAAATCCAGTTTCAAAACATCCGAAAGCTTTCACACTTCATTTCTGGGAGACGCAAGAATTGGTAGCGTCCCGTTCTGTCTTCGCAATTCGGATAAACTAAGTAGTTCCGGCCTTCTATGGATACATAGGTAGAGCATGTTGCTGTATGTACTTCTTGCTGGAGCTACCTACTAGTACGCCCGTGGTGAACCTTTGCAAGTGCTAATCCTGCAAGCCTTCGATCCCTCGAAGAATGTGCAATTTACAGATTAAGCCCTCTACGAGGAAACCTATCAGGAGGAATTCCCCGTGACGCTGCACGTCTATGATGCTCGTTGCAGTGTGTGGGCTTTCGCTTTGAGCGGTTTTTGTCGCTTCGTTTGTTGGCGCGAGGTTCCTGTTGCGCACCTTAACCGGGGCCTAAGTTAGTTAGGACTTGGGCCAGCATGCCGTGGTGCGTGCGTACAACCACCTCATGTTCTGGTGGACAAGCATGGGCGCTTGGCATGTTGGGATTGAAATCCACGGCGTCGAGACATCTTTTGGGAGTTGCTTGGCAAAACTCCTGTCTAGGAGCTTCGTGGGCTTGCAAGCTGTAGCACTTGTTGAGGCAGAGGCAATCTGTATGGGTCAGGGACCCTTGCTTGCAACGAAGCCCTTGCTGTGACTAAAGATGCCGTTGTGGTCTCTGCTGTCCCATTGGTTTGCGCCATCTCGAAGGATCACTCAGTGTGTGCCCATGCTGAATACCGCGCACCATTATGCCTACAGCGTGTTTCTCGGGTGCTGCGGTCTGTCGCCGGCGGCCTTTGACGATTTGCTCTCCAGACTCGCTCCCTTATTTCATGCAGAGGCCCGTTAGGCCGGCATAGTGATGCTCCTCAACTTCCCCACCCAAACTGAGCAGGACTACGACCTTCTGGAGCACAACTGCGTTACGTTTTGTGAAGTCTTGGCGTTGGGACGCTTGGGCCAGCCGAGTTAAGCTCGTAGCATTCTGGCCTGGATGCGTTGCGTTTGGCCCCAGAAAACCTGTGCGTTTGAGCGTTGAAGCAGCGTCTTGGGAACAGTTACGTTCTTTTTTGCAGTGTGGTGTTGAAGTTGATTGTTTCTTACAAGATTACACCAGTGCTTGCGAATGGCCAGAGGACCATGATAATGCTTATGCTACCAGTGCTTGCACACGGCCAGTGCATCCATGCCCATGCTACATGTGCGTGCAAGTGGCCACTAGGCATGTAAGCGTCATGCCGTGTGGGGGCACCGACGTGGCATGTTTGGGGCGGGCCTAAGTCCTAAATCCTAAACCTAAACCCAGGAGACATCGCGCGGCGTGCATGACATGCCGTGACATGCACTATCACATGCGTGACGTGATATGACGAGAGGTGATGTGCATGGCGTGTTGGGGTAATCCACCGGGATTAATGCCACGAACCCATGCCCAGATGCTTTAAGTCTAATTTATGCAGGCCGGCCTGCATGAAGATCACCTTGTGTGTTCTGTTCTTCAGGATTGGAGGTGGGCCCGCTGCCAAACTTTCGCTTGGCGAGGGCCCTGCAGCCCTTGACCGTACCTTCTTTGTTGGAAGCGTCGGTCTGTCCCGTCGGGCATGAGTGCTTGTTGCGGCTTGGGCGCATTCTCAGTTTGCCCATCACTGAGGATCTGCTCCCCCGGTTTAGACAAGTCACAGGCTTGCGTACGGCTGAGGCTCCGCGTGCGAATCGCGTATCATGTTATCTATTCGCCTATCACTTGCGATCGCTGCTACACGGATGCTCAACTCGAATAATAAAGCTTTTCGTGTTGTGCTTGTGGTCACGAGGCCACAGAAAGCATTGATGTTCAAACCCTTCATGTCAGGTGATAGCGGCTGGCATGCGGTATCAAGAGTGCCGTGTTTGTGAGTCGTTTTTGTGCCAGCACTGTGCGGGCCTGGTGTGCTGCTGTTGTTTCTAGGCTGCCGTTTCCAAGCACTGCAAGCTCACGGCCCAAGAGCCAAATGCCAATCGCAGCTTGAAAGACCCATGTCGAAAACATTGGCTGAGCCGCGTGAGCTGCTGATGCCTCATGCTGACGTTATCTTTGTGCCAGTTCCAAATTGAGGCTGCGTGCCCGAGTGCTTGTTTCGCCGGAGGTAGAGGAGTTGGTGAAGACTTTGCAGCGCAGAGGCTGGGTCTCTCGACTACGGCCATGGGGCAACACAAGCTGCGGTGATAATTGGATTGAACCCCAAACTTTGCCCTAAACCCTTTGGTCTTGTATTGTAGTCCCTAAGCTGCTCAAAGTAACAAGCCCTGAATTCCAAGTCTGGCCCTGATGTTGTTTGTGAGTGCAATGCGATGCGAGCTACCTTCATCTTTTGGCTGGCATGCTTCGTTGTGATGCTTTGTGGACTGCGTCTCCACAGATGTATATACACACACAGTTTTATTGTATGTGTCCATACAGTGCACATGTATTTGCATCTTCGTATTTGTATCTCCGTACATGTGCACATTGTGTGTATATGTGTGTGTGTGTACGTCTCATATTGTGTATATGCGTATACGTCTGCAAAGTATTTCTGGAGCGAGCTGGTCGCAGAACCTGTGGCACAAGGTAGCAAGTCAACAGTTGCGTTGCTATCGCCCATGGTGATTCTTGTAGAAGGGATCGGAGTCTTTATTGATTCAGTTTTTAAGGCGTGGGATGTTCGTGGATTTGTAAGGTTCGAGGATTCCGGGGTTACCAGAATTGCAGGTTGTCCACGACAAGTGCAAGTCGGCATGTCAATGGTTTGCCAGGGAGTCTGAACTCAGCGAGGTCCGGAGCTCGGAAAGTTGGAAATGGGACCTGAGCCAGACAACATTCCTTCAGCTGGCTGCATCTTGCAATGGAGGAGTTTGAAAACATCCGAGCTCAGCAGCGCTTGCTTCAGTGAGTGTGTTCTCTGAGGAGAATGCTGCGCTTCGCGACTGTCGTGGATCTCAGCTAACCTCAGATTAGTCCCGAACTGGGATACTTCATTGCATCATGTGCAGCCGAGCTCACGCAAGTGATTGGTTGCCGAGGCCTCGAGTCCATCGGAGTGTGGCAGGCCCCATGTAGTGCTTCCTGCTGAGGGCCACTAAGGGCTTCATGCTGTAATAAAGCAACAAGCCTAGGGGGGCTTGTTATGGAAGGCAGTTCTGAGCCGCTTGCATCCGCGCCGCTTCCAGAGAGTCCTCAGCCAGCCCAGAAGCTCGGAGTTTGTGATGAAGTGCTTCGAAGCGCATGGAAACGCATCTCATCTCCGCCAGATCCAATACTGTAGCAGCCAATAGCAGTGTCACGGGTCAAAGCTGAGGCACCCACTGTCACATACGCATCAGCAAGCAGCCCTGGAGGTCATGATAAAATCGTTGACAGAATGTGATGGCAAAAAAATGGCAGAACGGCTTCTGTGCTTTTGACAGACAGGCGGTGCGAAGAACAGACGATTGCTAGCTCATCGCTCTAGAGTTCTGGAATGGCGGACGAGCTTTCGAACACAGCCCCAACGGTCATCTCACATGGATCATCGCAGTCTTGGAGATTCGGAGGCCATCGTCCATCTGCCCGATTCTGCTGGCATCGCGCAGGCTGCTCGGGGCGATGCTGTCAGCCCGCCGGAGTCTGGTGCTCAAGCGTTGGAAGCTGCAACAAGCGGGAAGGTTCAAGCACTCGTGACGCCTCAGCTTCAAGGTTGGATCGTCTTTTCCCGGCATCCATCTACGTTGCAGGTGCGCGAAGAGGGTGCAGTGCAGAAGGATGCAGTGCAGAAGCATGTAGAAGATCTCAGAAGCACGCTGATCTTGCCTCTGGTGTGGTTCAGTACTCTGTGTCTCTCTCCCTAGAACACTCCTGTCATATGTGAGTCCTTACGTTTTGGTCGCTTCAAGCCACGAGAGCCTTGTAACGCAGAGGTGGAGCTGGCAGTGTCTCGAACCGCCCCCTGCTCCCGCTGGAGTGCTTCAGCCACTGCCTTGGAATTCCAGAACTCTCGAAACTATAAATAACCACTACTATCCAGCACATTCCGATGGCTTCGGTGTTGCCTCCAGCTACGGGGCAATGTGATACCCGCACCCCTACGCTGCAGCCCCGCTGTGCTCCGAACTGAGACCATGTGCGGGCTGTGCGAAATGCTGCACAGAATGTTTGCATAAGTGATGTCTATTAGGGTCTCCCCGCATTTAGAACAAGTCAGCGTCGCAGTTTACCATACATAATGTCTGCCCAAGGCTCATGAACCTAGCAGCCTGTGGGCTCAAGAACTGCGCTGCACGCAGACCTGCATGCCGAATGACGGGTTTTGGCTCTTCTTTTTCGATAGTGTGTACGCTGTCACTGCACATGTGGGAATGCTTGAGCGGGCACAGATATTTTGAAAGTGTGGGGCATGTTAGCTTTGTTCTTGCCTCTCCCATCAAAGCATCTCAAAGCTGGACCGCAGGAACATCTGATGATCAGCTCTCCCTGTTGCCGTCTGTAAGTAGTTATGTTGCTGGCTTCGTGGTCGTTCACGGGCCAGCGCTCGTTGTTGTCACACTTTCGGAGGGTCGCTTCTCCTGCCTCCAAAGGTCAAGACCTGAACCGCCAAGCAAAGACAAAGGCAAAGGCAAAGACAACGACAAACACAAGGACTTGGCCAAAGACTTGGCCAAGAAACATGTTGTTTTCAGGTTTGGGTCTCCTTCTTATAGAGGTGGCACAACTTCAATTTCTTTCTCAAGGGCTGCGGGAGAACAGAGAAAGAGACTTTTCGGTGCTGATGGTTCAGAAAGCCTTTCCTAGGGAGTTCAAGGACAGGTCGTTACCGAGGAGTAGCTTGGCTTTATGAAAGGTTTCCGGAACAGGATGCGCAGCTGAGGATTGCGTCTCCTGGCGTCATCAGCGGCTGGGGGAGGCTTTGTTGTTCGCTACGGCTCTACTTCAAACGGGGTTTGTTGTAAATCCAGACTTTTAGATCTATACTAGCACCGGCCGTAGGCAGGATGCGCAATCACACCAGACATAGGCCAGCAGCCAGGTACACAGATTCTAGCACTTGGCACTAGTGCCTGCTCTAGGACCATTTTCCTGAGCCATGAAAAATCCCGAACCTTGCATCAGGATTTCGCACTACCAGGGCCGTTCCGATCGCCACGCAATGTGCTTGGACCTGCGCGACAACCCCGTTTGCGTTGGCACAACTGAATGAGACTGAAGTCCGCATAACCCATGTGGCATCGCAAGTCTTGTCTCCGTCGGGTCCCACCCGCGTCCCTCCCCGCCCTCACAAGTAGGCGTTGGCTTGGAGCTCACGCCACCCTCATACGTAGGCTTTGGCATTTGAATACAAGTTCTTTGCTTAGACTTCTCAGCACCCTTTGAACATCTTTTCTGAGACCCTCTGAGAGGAGCTCCATACGGTGAAAAGGTGACGGTTGCTTCAAGCCTTTGGAATCTGAACACAACATAATGTCATAGCACCATATAACACCTCTGCAATTGAAGGCAAACAGGTTTCCCCGAACTCCTCAACAATCTACATCTTTTCGCGCGAAGCTAGGCTTTGTGCACACATGCAGCCGCGCAGGCTCCCAGCAAGCAGACCCTGGCGCAGCGTCGACTGCAGCTGATGAGCAAAACGTTGAAGGCGATTGGGTGACGCATGTCATGCTTAAGAGGTGACTGTCAGATTGCACGACTGCTGTACTACTGCTGTACGGATGTTGAAGTTGCCGTATGGGTGGCATGCTGTAGAAAAATAGATCCAAAGTTGCAATTGGATGACTCAACTGCTCTAGCGGAACATGAGCAGAAGGCGAAAGGTCTGAGCTCACTAAGCCTGTTCCGGGTACAGCGCATTGATGCTAAAGCGAGCTTCGCACCTGTGGTGCCCATTTTCAACTGGTCTGACCTGCCCAGGACACAAGGACTGTAGTGTCGGGTGTGGTGTTACATTATTTGGAGTCCTGGGGATTGGCAATTCTACTCATTCCAGCCTGGGAGAGGACTAGTTGCTTGCTGTTTGTCACCCACCCCCAGCATGTCTCCGCCTGCATGCCCTGTGCCTTAACAATTGGGCCACAAGCCTTCCGGGGTCCGGAGTCGTATGCAAAGACCCAAGTAGGGTTCGCATAAAGAACAGGCATGTTATGCATCGTAAGAGACATCGCGCCTGGTGGGCAGAAGACTTGTGGAGAGAGAGGCACCTGACCATTGTGCAGACGACGTGCAGACGATGCAGCAGTGCGTGAGCTGTTCTCGAGCTCTGCGCCAATGCCCACGTGAGCAGAATTCATTACGCGGAGACTGCTGGCATGTTTTCCAGTTCAGGGTGACTTTTCCACGTGCGTGAATGCACACCGCGTGAACAGATTAGCACGAACCTCGTTCATCGCGCCAAGCCCTTTCAGTGCCATCACAGCATATGCCGGATGCTCGCACTTGGCTTTGGGTCTTGCAAACCAACGTCATGTGTCATAGATGCCCGTAAAAGGGACCGCCAGGGCCGCCAGGGGCAGGCAGGCAGCGCTGCCAGCAATGTGGAAGGATTCAGGTGTAAAGCTTGTGGGTTTAGGAGCTCTAGTAGTGAGGGTTTTTTGATGTACGCTGTTGCCTTGACGTCGCCGGCACTGAGCAGGTGATGCCAGTGCCAGGTATAGCCATGCAGATGTGTGCCCTAAACCTCAGGCTTAAGGTTGCAAGAGGATGAATGCTAGGCCTACTCTTGGACAGCGCCTTTACATGAGCAAAGCAAGAGCAAGACTCTGCGGCAACAACTGTTAATACTTGCTGCAGGTACCGAACAAGCAGAGCGACACCACAAGCTCCGAGCAACATGCATGGCAACAAACTAGAAGACGATTGGCCCGAAAGCATCGACTTGCCGTGCGTTGACTCTATGCACTTGACTCTCTGCGCTCGAACTGTATGCACTTGGACAAGTGTATGCACTTATATGGTTGCATACTCACTTGTATACTGCACTTGTATACCGGACGTGTATGCACTTGAACTTCATGGCATTCAAGTGTGTTGAGTTGAATGCCATGCACTTGTGGTCAACTCTTTCACTTCATTGGCATTCAATACATCTGAAGTAAACGGACTTGAGCTGTATGAACTTCACTTGCATGCACCCGACTCGGCTGTGCACGTCCAATCCGCGAATCTATGAACGAAAAGACAACAACATCTAACGCGAGAGCCGTCAGCCATGAGCATCATCGGCAGTCGCTCTGAAGCCCAAGCTCATAGTCCAGAGCGCCTGTCAGGAAGCAAGAACTTAGCATGCACGCATGTAGAGCATCCGGTTTAATGCGTGACGGCACATACGCTTTCATGCTGCAGGAAGGAATCTAAGCAGTGATGTCTCTTTTTTTTTTCTTGGGCTGGCGTACTCCTGTCTCTGGAAACTGGAAGGTTTTCGAGGCCCCGGAATTCGAGTCCCAAGATAATTGCGAGGTTTTCGACATCCCGGATTTCGAGTCCCACGATATTTGCGAGGTTTTCGAGGCCCCGGAATTCGAGTCCCACGAAATTTGCGAGGTCTTCGAGGAATTCGAGTCCCACGATATTTGCGATGGTTTCGAAAACATCCCGGAATTCGAGTCCCACGATATTTGCGAGGTGGTCGAGGCCCCGGAATTCGAGTCCCACGATATTTGCGAGGGTTTCGACATCCCGGAATTCGAGTCCCACGAAATTTGCGTGGTTTTCGACGGCTGTCCTAGAAGCTCGCGCCGGCCCTATTCAGTACTACTTTTGTACTACAAAGATGGATTTGGAGAGGGGGGCTCTCCGAAAAGCCTGCGCCGGCCATATTCAGTAGTACTGCTGTGCTACAGAGGAGGATTTTGAGAGCCTAAAAGAGCGCACCGACCCTATACAGTACTACTTTGTACTACAGAGGAGGATTTCAGAGCCCAAACCGGCCTAGACAGTACTACTTTTGTACTACAAAGGATGTTTTCGGTCACAAAAAAATGCAAAAACACGACGGTTTTGGCACCGCGACCACGCCGAAACCCGCAGAGGGGTTGCGTTTGTATGTCACAAAACGCAAAAACACGACAGTTTTGGCACCGCGACCACGCCCAAACCCGCAGAGGGTTGACCCGCGCCCGCAAAAATGTGCAAAAAACGACGGTTTTAGCACCGTGACCATGCCGACACCCGCAGAGGGTTGTCCGCGGCCAGCAAGAAACGCAAAAACAACGACGGTTTTAGCGCCGCGACCACGCCCAAACCCGCAGAGGGTTGACCCGCGCCCGCAAAAATGTGCAAAAAACGACGGTTTTAGCACCGCGACCACACCGAAACCCGCAGAGGGTTGTCCGCGCACAGCAAGAAACGCAAAGAAACGACGGTTTTAGCATTGCGACCACGCCGAGACCCGCAGAGGGTTGCAATCCCGATTGACGACGTCAACCCAGCCCGCCGCCTGAAAAAGAGTAATTTTAATTACGAAATGTAGGACTGGGTACGAAGGTCTATTAAATTCTACTAAAATCTCGTAAATTCGATTAAATTGTACTAAATACTAAAATCTCGTGAATTCTACTCTATGCATTAGTGGGTGCATGGGCCTCTTTATGGGCATGGGTCTGTTGGGACAGATTTCATGCGTCCGGACTATACAAAAAGTTCCCCCGAACTATTTACAAAACTGGCCGAACAATTCATAAATCATCCGGAACCGCTCGGAACCGTTCTGGACTGTTTGTAACCGTGTTGCGAGACACCATCGCAGACAAGCGCAACCCACCATGTCGGACGTTCTTCGACTGAGGGATTCATGTTCTGCTTTTCTCATGTTTTCATATGCCCTCGATGCGAGTACTGGGGCCACGCGCTAAGGCGTGCCATCCGAAAAAAGGGATCACGAGATTCGAGTGCCCTTTGGCGAATTCCTTTAAACTAGGGGAGACTCAACTTGGGCTTGGACTCCGGGTCGCAATCAGACTTATGAGTGACGCGCCGAAAGCTCGCGCCTTTCCTATCTGACTCGTTCGCCAATTGGTGTCGCAGCATAGATACATTAGTGAAGGTTCATGTGTGCTTGCGAAGTCGCGAGTTGGGGCCTTCGGAGCCTTGGGAGGCCCGGTTGAGAGGCGCAGGTTGGATACGCAGAGGCCGAGTTACGACTTTCTGCAGCCGTTTTGACTTGAGTCGATTTCACAGCTCGCACACTCTCACACTCACGAAGACGCAGAGTCACACACAGACACAAACACACATGCGCTAGAAGTCCAGGTATGTAGACGGCCCCGGGCATCTTTTGCCACATGGGGTTTGTGTCAAAGCCGACAGCTCCCCTTCGTTTGAAGTTTCTCTTCAGCAAGCGTGTGAAACAGTGGGTGTCGAGTCAGTAGCGGCGCTTGATTCACAGCCTCGCGCACACGTACACACCATTGCACACCCACACACTTGCGCAACGGGTGTCTGCCAGTCGTGCAATGATGTCACGGACAGGGACGAGCTTCAGGCCGGGTGCTAAGCTTTCAACTAGCAATCCCCCAACGCAGACGTCATCAATCTGTAAACTCGCTGTCTATGATTTGAAGTCGATTGTCGTAGTATAAACCCCTTTCTTTGGGGGCGACCATCTTTTTATCCCCGAGGCCCTAAACAGCTCCCCCCAACCTAGTGAGCCTGAGCTGTAAACCCTGGAGACCAAAAACCCTAAACCTGACAGGGCTTCCCCAGGTCATCCCGGATCCCTGTGCCTCCTAGGTCCTAAACCCTAAACCCCTATAAAGCCGAAACCCCGAAAACAAAGCCCGATGACCCCGAGCAGGTCGAGGTGGCCAAAGAGGCACGCCGGCGCGAGGGAGAGGTCCGCAAGGGTTTTGGTTTGGCCGGGAGTTCGGGGCTTATAGGGTTCACAGAAGGTTTCGGCTTTGTAGGCTTCAGGCTGGGTGCAGGATTCACAGGGCTTGTGGTTAGTAGGGTTTAAGGTTCAGGGTTTCGGAGATTGGCGGTTTAGGAGCGGCTTATGAGGTTTGGGGTCAGGGGTTGTACGGGGGCAGCGCTGGGGAAGGCAAGAATGCATTTTGGACCTGAAGTCAAAAGTGTCGTTTGGAATCCTTGTTGCAAGGTCCTGAACAGCAACCCAGTCTTGAGCCGGTCTGGATTGCGAAAGCCTGCATGCCCTGCAACTTTGGGCAATACTTCGAGGAATGTTCTACTGTGCTTTACCCCAACTACAACTGCATCAGGGGACTAAGGGCGCTGCTGCGTAAGTGCAGTTCTCATCGGGCTAGTGCCCCCCTGAACGTCCAAGTGGAGGCCTGAAGGCTCCGGTCAGGAGGGTGTTGGCCGGATCCTGTTGGGCTTGTTATTCCGTGCAGTCCGTTCAGGGTATTTTCCCCAAGTCAATCAAAATCCGAGCTGGACCAACCCTGAACAGAATTGCACAAAGCCAGGCAGCGCAATCCGTGCTGCTGGGGCGTGAGGCGCGGGCCTTCATGTTGGCCGTTTGGAGGTTTCAGGGGTTGAGGACGATTTTTATGGAGAGTTCGTCGGAGGAGCCTGCCGAGGCGCGCCTTTATCTGTGCCCCGTAAACTCCAGTGTCCCAAATGGTGAAAATCCTTGCACAAACGCTTCAGAGGCACTCTGCACTCCTTCCTCCAAGCGCTCGTCCCTGCACATGCCAGCGCAGCTCTCAAGTAACAGCTCTTCT